GTAATTATCTATACAACATTGCCTGTTTACTTATGTACATATCATGGTCAGACATTTTTGAAACGCGTAAAAAAATGAGAAAAACACGGAACTGTTCAAACCCTCTTTTAGAAGAGGAGGCTGCTCTCTTATCGCCTAGTAAATATGTCATCGGCAGACTAGATTCTGCATTTGACAACTTCGTTGTAAAAGGAAAACAAGAAAAGGTAAACAAGAAAGCTTGAAACAATTCTAAAAAAAAACAAGCAAACGAGAGCCTTCAGTTTCCACTTATCGCCCTAAGATGCACGAGTGTTCCAACTGTGAGTGTGGGAATTGTTTTACTCCTTCCTGTTTTGAGGTTAAAAGATGCAGGATGTCGTGAGCATGGCGCGTTCAGGTCCAGATTTTTGAACACATCATTCCATTTAATGTTCATAATGCCAGTGTTAAGACTATACTCGTTTTTTGATACAGGACGAGGGCCCAAGGGTTACCTGGAGCTAAAGGATTTCTAGCTTTAACTCCGACAAAACTTCATCATGGCTTTTTCATTACATCTTCAATAATGAAAAATAGGAGGTTCATTGGCTTTGGATATAGTCGACCTCGCATATACCAGAACTGTTAGGTTTTTTTTAATCACGACTTGTGTTGGGTGGAAGATTACCAAAAGAATTTCACATTTTTCAGAATGTAAGATGGATTGGTCCAAGACTAAGGGAATATACAGTAAGTTTGCAAAGGCGGTGCTGCCGATTATTTTTTAAGGGAATTTAGCAGACGTACAAAATGATGATTCCTGAACCAGTATGTATATCTAAGTGGCTCAATCGTTAACATTTTTCGGGTGCAGGCTTACGTCAAATGAATAAGCAACGATTGAGTCAATTAGATTCGTTTGAGCGCTGCTGATCAGGCAAATGTTGCAGATGTTTCTTATTTTGTAGCAAAAAAAAAGTGATTCGTGGAAATGGCTTGCAGATAATGCTTCAGATAGACGGAGGGGATGTGAAAACCTTCTTGAATTCAAGACATCTTCTCGTGTTCTCTACCCTAGCCTCAGTTACTTGGAGAGCTAGACTACTAGAAGGAATTGGGCAAATCATTGTAACGACATTTGGCAAAATAGAGTTGGGATGACAAGGCTTGAAGCACTAACTCTGTTTAGCTTCATATCAAAATTGAATCTTGCTCAAGTACTTGAGCTTTGATTCTGAGAGGGAAGGGAAAAACGTTTCTTGGAAATCGAGTTTTTAAGAACCAATCGGACGCGTAGCGACTAGACTTACAAATGAGATATGTATGTACTAACCTTGACTTTGAAACCGTCAGTAATGATACGTATGTCAAAGAGGTGGACGGTTGAAGAGTTGATGGAGGGTTTTTGGTCAGCCTGGTAATAGCCTTAAGCTAACTATATTCATATTTGGACTTTTGGCGATTCAAAGAAATATCGAGAGCTCAGATAATCAGACTATGTTCTTCGAGTATAATACCTTGAAGTATTTCATGAGCTAAAATATGGTTTCTGATTGAAGTACTTCTGTCACGGGTTCACTTAATCAGGGTGTGGGGGAAGTATCTGCCAAAAATTTCGCATTAGCCTGAATCTGCCAAAAATTCCTCATCAGCCCCTATTTTCTAAAAGCTCTAGTGGAGTTTTTGAGAAAACGTGCTAACCATGCGTCCATACGACATACCTGGCTACCCTTTTGATTTCGTATTCGTATTACTACCTACTTCTTCCAATCGTTAAGCATCTATTATAGAACAGAAGCGTACGATGTCATGATCACTTTAAAGGCACCGTTCACAAAAAAGTTAGAGTACCCTTTTTTGACGGGAATTGATAGAACTACTCTAGAATAAAGCGATAACAACGAAAAAAGCGCAAAAAACGATGAACAAGAAGAACTACATGCGTCTCTGGCAATTTGCCAAACAGCTTATCGACTTTTCACCAACTTCGCTCCAATGCGAATGTGGTGAAGGACAATTAGAACTCGTAGTCAGCCTAGCGAGGGGCGGAGGCCTCCCGTCCCCCACTGTTCCTGCCCTTATTGTGCCCTATCCAGCCGTTTTCCGACCTCATTCCTGCACAAATGGTATCANTATGTAAAAGAGACTTCGAAGGAGATTTCAGGGTAGCGCATGGCCGGACTCCTAGCTGGAAGCTGTTGNAATTGATAGAACTACTCTAGAATAAAGCGATAACAACGAAAAAAGCGCAAAAAACGATGAACAAGAAGAACTACATGCGTCTCTGGCAATTTGCCAAACAGCTTATCGACTTTTCACCAACTTCGCTCCAATGCGAATGTGGTGAAGGACAATTAGAACTCGTAGTCAGCCTAGCGAGGGGCGGAGGCCTCCCGTCCCCCACTGTTCCTGCCCTTATTGTGCCCTATCCAGCCGTTTTCCGACCTCATTCCTGCACAAATGGTATCAAAGGAGGCTTCGAATTCAAACCATCTGCAAATCTCCGAAACCACTTTTTCGTGAACAGTGCCTTTAAAAGTGACCTTCTAGCTTTCTTTGCATCTGAGTCACCGGAGTTCTACACTGAAGAAATCCGTGGCTTTATGGAGCTTTCGCGGAAGGTAGCTGATAGAAAATATTTCGTTGAAAGTTGAATGATATCACCAAGTTATGTTGTTTTAAAATACTGTAGCATGACTACAGATACTACTGCCCACACTAATATTGGATTATTTATGGGCATGGTGTGCTCGTACGTAGGAGATCGTCTGGCAAAATATCACGGTGTTCTAATAATATTCTTCAATGAATAAGATTTATCCAAAGAGGGACGGATAGGGCCAAAGTCATACATCTTGGGGTTCAAGTTCACACCAGTGCTGAGTGCTGAGGCTATGATGGAGTGTATATGGTAAGAGTTCCGAGCTGAAATGGAAATTAAGGTGGGATGGAAACGATTTCGAATTAGTTTTATGGGTTAAATTAAGTGTGTTTCTGTTTTGGCGTGTGGGAGGCTCACTAGAGGATTACTATTCCAAGAACAGTTAGGCAAACCTACAACAGAATCAGGAAGTACAGTTTTTAATGGAAAACTTATCTGATGCTAGTACGATAATGGATAATTAAATATGAACGATTACACTTTTCTAAGGCCTCAGAGGGAGATATCATTGGAATGTTGGATAAGAGAAAGAGGACTTCCAACGGTACTCACTAATTCAACTGGTAGTGTAGAGAAAATTAATAAAAAATTTATATACATAGCTGTGAAAACTCAAATAATTTAGCGATATACTCGTGCTCAGCTCACGAGCTTACAGGCTATCGCCCTTTTCCCTTCAACCAGAAAACAGATGGAGCTCATCGAACCCCCCCAGCCGTTGGTTACGGAAGAATTTCAACTCCTCACGGGACATTTGAGGGTGATGTAGGTAAATCGATACAGTCTCAGCTACTGGTTTCGAAAGTTAAATTTAGTGGTACTAGCTATACCTCCCACACAATTCATGCAGTCGAAGTTTGTTCGAAATGTGGTGCGGTTTTATGGGGTGATTGTAGTCAACAAAGTCAAGAGGAAAGATATGCATATCGTGGTATGGTGATACCATATAATACTGTGGGTATGTAAAGGAGACTTCGAAGGAGATTTCAGGGTAGCGGATGGCCGGATTCCTAGCTGGAAGCTGTTGAGATGGTGGTTTGAATTCAATTTGCCTCACCTATAGTTTGTGCTCTGTTTAGTCAGGCCTCAATCGCTACTGATGAACCAGTAGAACGGAAGATGCATGGCGCAACTCTGATGATCTAGTTTATGAAGAAATTGGAAGGAATCTCGAAAACGCAGTGATTGAAACTCTGAGCTGTAGCCACGAGCTGGATCAGATCCGCACTGCTGAAGTGGAACCGACTCCGCCTCGGAGAATTTGCGACAGAGTTCGATGGCCGAGCACTTTGAGAACTCTATGAAAGCTACGTGTATCACGTGCAATGTTCTTAGCCTTTGTTGGCTATTCAAGCGATATCAATGGTTACTGCTTCCGCTTGACTAGCCAGGAGGCCTAAATCCCTTTCAGACTCTCTCGCTATTCTCTCGCGTCGTTCGTTAACGAAGTACAACTTCAGAAAAAAAAAGTCCCTATCCCGACGTCACAGTAATTCCTTCAGGCTCTCATCAGAAATTTCTTAGCTCAACAATGTACCAAGCCAGTTGCGTTCTAGAAAACTGAAGTCAGAAATTCGCATGAATCGTCCCTAATTCACCATTTCCCGGCTGTTCAAAGAAGAACATTGCGACTTAAAGCCACAATTCACGATAAAAATGGTTTCTGAGATTCTCCTATATTATGGACTCGAAGCTTTCCCTTATACCATATCTGCCGCTATAAGTCGAAAAGTGTCATGGAGAGGGCACAGTGAGGGGTCAGAGATTGTAGCATGTGAATGTCGCGGACGGGTTTCAACGGCTTTGCAGAGGCTGCACTAACTCAAGAGACTCTCATCTGGGAAGTTCAAACAACTTGTCATAACCCATGGCGACAGTGAAAGGCCGTTTCGGGCAATTTCGACTTGATGTAGTCACCTCTTTAAGCAATGGAAGCAAAGTAAATCTCGTCCAACCCCTTACATGCGGTTACCGTCACGGTGATCTCGTACAACTTCCACTTCCACTACTTTTAGAAAGCCTTGAAGTAGGCTGATTTTCTCGCCGATGTACCCTCCTACATCAATACTTCCACTTTTCTATCTAGAAAGGTTACCACGAAATTATCGTGAACTGTGCATTTAACTCGGAGTAAGACTGGATTTGGCTGACGTTAAACTCGTCCAAGTGTCTCCTATGGGGTCTTGTTTGTTGCTAGGTGCTACCGTAGTATGGAAAGGTATGTCAAATTCCATATATGTTCATTGACGTTTTTTCTTTTCTTCTCCAATCGTTCCTCGAGTGCTAGCTCTTTGATTAACAAAATATTAGCGTCTCTCAAAACAAACGAACGTTTCATTTAAAAAGTCTTTTATTGCACTCGAACAACAGCATTACATTAGACATGCCAATAGTACCTATTGAAGTATCGTCGTAGTCTGAAGGCAGCGTTGCCTGCTCTTGAGTGCTGAGTGGGGACGGGTATAGCAGGCGATGCTACATCGGGCAAAGCAGGTGGAGCTATCTCAGCGTTCAACAAACTCGGGGCAGCTGGTGCCGATTCAGTACCTGCTGTTATTGTTGTCGTTGGAGTGGATTCAGTAGGGACAGCACTGGGTGCAAAGGCACCCTGGAAAGCTGCGCCTTTGGTAACCTCAGTTACTACCTCCGCTGCCTTAGCAGCATCAGATCCTGCAGCGTTTCCAGTTAGGACCGTGTCAACATGTTCTTCTGTCACTACTCCTTTGCCTGTATTCACTACTTCAGCCACCACTTTATTTTCTCCGGAACCTTCTGGCTCAGTAAGTTCCCTCTTGTCTACAGCAGCTGCTACGCCCGCTGCTGCAGTTTCTGCAAATGACTGAGCTCCAGCTCCGACTGAGAGCATAGATCTTGGAGGGCAAGGACAGTAGGCGGCATCAGCTCCTGGTGCTCCGTCTAATCCTCTGCCACCAGGGGCGCCTGGGCCTCCAGGTGCTCCATCCCTTCCTGGAGGTCCAGGTGGACCAGCTGGACCAGGGGCTCCTGCAGAGCTAGATCCATTCTGAAATAGAATTTTCAGTAATTGCCCTATATCAAAGGCTTCGAGTCACCAACCTCTCCGTTGCGTCCGGGTTCTCCTTGAGGTCCTGGAGCTCCTGCGGGTCCTGGCGCAGAGATTGATCTCATTCCATTCGCACCTATGAATAGTGAGAAGTGAAAAAGAGTTCGATATTGGAAGAATAGAATATTACCATCTGTTCCAGGAGTTCCATCAGATCCAGGCTTTCCATCTTGACCAGGTGGTCCAGGAGGACCAGCGGGACCAGGTACACCACTTCCACCTCCCGTTCCATCCTAGAAAGAAGCGATAAATACCAGGCAGTGGATGAATATTTGCAGGATACTGACCGCTCCCGGATTTCCTGGAGATCCTGGTGACCCAGAAGGCCCGTCTGGTCCTGGTGGGCCTGGTGGCCCTTGTGGGCATTTGATACAGCCGCCCATCATGTGGTCAGCCAACACGGCCATGCCGTTCTTGCCTGGTAGACCGTCCTCACCATTCTCTCCATCCTCTGAAGCAATGTTTGTGGCTTGGGAGGGCAATTTATTATGGCTAATTTAGGCTTCAAACTAACCTCCAGGTATTCCAGGTGTTCCTGGTGGTCCGGGAGGCCCAGCTGGGCACCCCCTGGATTTCTCTGCGCATTCTAGATGGTGTTGAATGATTTCCAAATGAATATGTGTCAGTGAAACCATTCAAGGACCGAAACTAACCGCATACGTAGTTTCCATAGCCTCCTCCTCCACCTCCAATACCATCTGCGGAAACTCCTCCACCTCCTGCACCATCGAAGGAATCGGATTTAGCCGCTTGTACTCCAGCTTCAGGCTGTGCTTCGATACCAGTTGGTGGAACTTGATATCCTTCACGACGTGTTCGTGCCACTATGACGTCGAACACATGTCGGTCGCCACCAGTCGTTCGGATCATCTGCTTCCATGCGTCATCAGCATAACCCTGCAATCGGTTTATTTTATAGCGGTCTCTGAGCGGCCTCATTTTTCACAAGGAGGTTGCAAAACCTCAGAAGAACTGGCTTACTTTGAACTCGTTCATATCTGTGATAACATCATCGTAAAACGAGTTGATGTCGGTCAGCAGCGAAATGGTCAAACCGATAGCTGCGATGATTGCTATCGTTGAACCACCACAAGTAGCTGCTAGAACTGAGCGCTGTAAGCTCATCCTGAAATGCCGAAAGTGATCATTGACTACTCGATGTTTGAATTGTTTCAAGGGAACTAGATGGAACTTAAACGGTCTGAAAATTCATCTGAAATCTGACACTCGAATTGGTTGCTTCTGAGCTTGGTGGCGTAAACTTTCTCGTGGACGTCTAGTGACAGAATACGCCCAGGTCATCCAACTTTTTTTGTCTACGGGGCCAACTTCTGCGTGACAAACATGTCTTTGGGGACTGAACACAATTTTGTGTTAATTTTTCCTTTGCAATGCAGTGTATAAGACTCATTTAAATGACATCATTTCTACTATCCTAACCGAAGTTCAAAATATGGCGCATCCGCGAAACGGACCCTGCCCCTATCGACGTGGCTGTCAGCTGTTATTTCATGAAGTTTTTAGATCCCTCTGGAATGGGATTCTTCAGCCACATACCGATCAAAGCATTTGTATGGAGGCTATGCTCCTTTAAATTGCGAAAGTTTTTCGGTGTTGGCTAATCCAATTTCGAGATGCACCCCACATTTGACTTTTATACAAGATCATGGTGTCCTTTGTCTGTATAGGTGGATTCTACAATGACAGTGGCCATTTGTATAGATCAGTATTTATACTCTCCAAAAGAAGTCTGGTAACATCTAAGCGACCCCGCAGGGTAGGAGGCTTGGCTGTCTTTTGCGGGTGTTTTTAGGGGATTCGACTCCAGGTCATAAATGTGATAGCATGCTACTTGGTACTACTCCATCTCTGCTTTCAATTTACTTAGAAAGCTATCATTCGAACTCTTGCCCACGAGATTCCTTCGTACTTCCGGGGCAAATTTCATTTTTTCATAACTATATTTGAATGAAGATGTTTCGAGAAGTCGAGTAAAGTGAGCGGGGAAGATGTAGAAGGAGACTAGCATCTATGGAACGGGTAAAAAGTCAAGGAGGAAAGTTGCAGCGGTTATCGCGATGGTCACGTCCATAGAATTATTCCTTCGCAATCGTAGTGCTTCGATAGCGCAATTTAGGGCAGGATCATCTTTGGTTGAACCCACTGAGTGGGTCGTACTGAGTAAATGATCGAATTGACATCAATTCAAAGGGATGGCTCGTGATTAAAGGTAATATTTTTGATCATAAATGAAATGGAGGAACGGAATGCTTTATCCAGACAACTGTAGGCAGAGTGATAAGCGTCGATAACAAGTTGTCGAAGCGCAGATACAAGTAGTAATCGCCCGTTGTTCACCTTAAATAGACGATTGTCTAAGAAACCAGTAGTGTCGGCGATAACGCTACCATATAACAACTTGTTTGACCGACTCATCGAATTAACAGGCTCTTTCATAATGAGATTACTAATCTTTGTCATGACAAGTAATCATGACAAAGATTAGAATCTCATCACGGATAGCTGTGATCAGCTTTATACCCTTGGTTTCCTAAAGGGGCATGAAATTTCCAAATATGTGAAACCCACCCACAGTTACCTACCTTCTTTAGCCACGCCAACGACCAAGAATAAGTTAAACAGGAGAAATGGTAAATTTGAGAATAGTAATGGTATACTCATATCCCTAGATTTAAAGCTGGTCCTTCGAGGTGAGTAACCCCTTTTGCGGTGTGCGCCACGGCATTCGCCTTCCTTCTAGAATTTTGGTGGCATTTGAATGTGTATATGGCCTGTTCATAGTCTGCGGAGAGCAGTTGATGTAAAAGTTAGTGCTTTTATTATCCCAGACTAGTCTGGTACCGATAAACTGACCCTAAAGGGATGCAAGACTTGATTTGCTTGAACGAGTATCAATCTGGATTCGGTTCCCGAACCATGCATGTGGTGGGACACTGTTTATAACACTAATTAGAATTGATAATTGTAGTAATTTTCTCTGTATGGAATCCATAGTTTATTAAATTATATTACTTTTCATTCACAAATGGCTGGTTCAAAAAATCTTTTCGCCCTGAACTTTGAACACCAACCAACATAGTTGGAGTTCATGTTGTGTAATGTTGTGCGATTTTGTGAAAATTCAATGATTTTTTAAATATCATCCTCAAATGCAGAAAATACAGTCCATGGAAACTACCTGCGATTGAAAATTTTGGAAACCTAGTCGATTTCTAGACCGCTGGTATGTGAAAATGTAGAAAAGCAAACGAAAAAAGTCAGGCAAAATCGATCCGCCGGCCTCCCAGCAACAATCAATGATCAGTAAGCGGCCATCAGTAAAGAGGACATTTTAAAATGGACTTTATATGTGCCTTAACATTTAATTCTGTAGAGAGTTGGTGCCCAGCAAAGCCTGTACCGATGAGTTACATCCCTAGATAGCTTTTTAGAGCAAGTTGGTTCCCTAGAAGGTAATTGAACTTGTACCTTGATCTGGCCTGTCAATAGGGCTGATCTGATGGAGGCGCCCGGAAGGGTGCGCACTGGGCGATCAATGTGGGTTTCGTTTCGCTGGCATCATGTCTACTTCCTGCAATTTCTTTTCTATCGTATTTCTTATTATAACAGTTTAATCGTTTATTGTAAAATCGCTGTCACAACCGCTATCTGATACGAAGATCTTTCCCTCTGTGGAACAGGAATCCTGTAACGCCTTGGAGATTCCAGTGTGTACTAATTTTTTATGGCTCTGAATTCTACTCCCACTTATCCGCCTTTCCCCTCCTGATAAATCGAGCCTCTAACTGATAATCGGTCTGTTGATGAAAATTGAGGTCGCTCCAGTTATTACTATTTATCCTGTGACACGATTACAAGCTTCCCATCATAGCTTTCATGCTTGAAATTTTATTTATCATATTGATTGTCAGGTACCCGTCCGTGTGCGTCGCGAAGATCCACTCAATCATACATTTACAGAAAGCTTTCGATTGGAAATCAGAGTCAGTCTTGAACGCGGTTTGGGTGTCGACGGCGTCAGAAGCAAACTTTCACGAATTCGGCTCAAGCAACAAAAACCCCTTTCCACGCCTATGCTGTTTACAAACGCTCGAGAAACGGACAGAGGACAACAAAGCCTGTCATGGATCTGATAAGGTAACTAATGAAATATATTGTTATAATAAATAATATCGCCACCGGCAAGGCTTTCATTAGACCAGTAGGATGGCGACCGTAAATACGTCGCGAGAGTTGGCAGAAGTAGCTGAGACGGGACCCTGCGATGGGAGCATATAAAGAAAGTTCTGATCAGGGTATGGCACAGATGGTTTTGGTAGAATAATGTTTGTTGTTTGATTCGAAATGGGGACATTATCGATTGGCGTTGGTTTGAGGACTTGCCACGATGTATTGATTCGGAACACTTCTTAGAGAATGGCATTTCTTACCTTGAATTGGAAATGGTAACAGTCGATGAGATCTGATCCATCAGACTTCTTGAAAACCCTGTGGCTAATTATTTAATGTGTGATTACAATCGGTTCGAGAATAGTCGCCTTCACTTTTTTATTTTTCGAAAATTCTGAAAAACTCCTATTGTCTAGTTCATTTATCCAGAATAGAACAAATTAGGCTGCTACAGCGAATCCAATTCGTTTCTTTCCATGATCGAGGACAGTATAGAAAGATCCTATGAAGACATCGCCGAGAATCCATGAAAATCCTAAAATTTTCTACTCTTAAGACTTCTGAAAACTACTGGCTAAATAGCTCGAACGTACCTGCATTGGGTATCTGCAGTTTTTGAAAACCGGATGTGCATGTGCCATCGTTATTCTGAAAATATTGTTTCGGAGTTTCCCAGTCGTTCATTTGGGTTGCCTGCCCCCGTGGCTACCCTTGTAGCCCATCACATCCAACCCCACCCTCAACCTGTTGCTCAGCATTACCGTATGCTATCTCGTTGGGCATCGTCATGGGCTCTGTGAGACGAGATAGGGTTACGTTAAGCAGCAGCTCCAATGGTTTAGGAAATCGTATAAGTTTCTCAAGCAATGGCGCTATTGCCGTCAACACTTGGGTAGCCAAGTCTGCACCCAAACCAATCTAGTACCTTGATGATGTAGTTGTGTCCTCTGAGAATCATTTCCGTCCCATTGATTGTGAAGGCGATCAAGGGAAAGTATGGAATCATGCTGCAGTCAGCCTCGCCCGAGTCTTTGACTCCAATTGCTCGGTGAATCTTGAATTGCAAATAATAAGCTGGGTATCTCCGGAAATTGGATTTCAAAGATGACAATGAAAGAAATTCTGTCAAACCTGACCATCTGAATAGCCTCAGGTGGCCCAGCGATGAGCGATGTACCACTGTCGACGATGGCGCTGGTGGGTCCACCAGTAACCGAGTCTCCGTCGACGGTGATCCTTCCTAGTTGGAATTGCCAGTGCATCTCGGAGGTTAGTGGCTCCCACACGATGGGGCCCTATAAGATATCCGTTGCTTTGTTTACCAGAGTGTGTGAAAGTGCCACCTTATAGTGAGAAGAGTTCATTCCGCACAGGGTTAGTTCTCCACCACCGACATCGTTATGAGGAGCACGATTGAGCCAGAAGGCCAGTAGAGGATCCGGACAGAGCTCCTATAAATTCACTTCATTTGCACTTCGTCACATACCATCACTTCAGGATTGGCATCACTAGTAGGAGGACGCATAGTATGATTGCATCTGGACGAGTTTCTCGCCTCATTTTGATGTGGTTGTTTACTGCGGGTACACTTCTTGAAATTTACCTTGCTGGCAAAGATCTGATTCAACGGGTGATCGTTCGAAGCTATTGAATGCCGTGTCATGCCGACAATTCCGTCAAATCGGGAGCTCTGGAACCTTGGCAGCAGTGCCGATAACTATCAAAGTGGATCTTGCCTTTTTAGCCGAGCTTTCTAACTCACAGCAAAAGTGTCTCCAGGTTCCTGTGTTGCACAACCAAATCCTTGCGTGTTATTCGTGCAGTACCTCTCGTCCTTGCCACCAAACTGGAAAAAGTAATGGCTGCCTTCGGCATTGCTGACAGTATCGTTTGGAAATTCTGAAACTTACGCAAACAATATCGTTGTTTACGTA